TATATTTAGTTTACCCTTTAACTGAATGGTTAACGGCCACGGACGGCAAGCAGCGCCCGTACCCCTAGTCTTATGATGTCAAAAGAAAGCCGCACTGAGGAACGTGAAATCTGGAGTCTAATCACAAACCCTATTATTTCTCATTCAAACGTGCATACTACCGCGCAAGATCAGAGGGCATCCGGCGACACAGGTGACCAGCATTGCGCTGAAGGCAAGACAGCTACTATTTTCACTGCATCGGACTCTGATAATATGAACGATAATGTTAGACAGTACAATACACATGGTTCGCCCGAGCAGCCCGATGAGATTTTGGGAGGCTGCGACGTTCTTGAACAAAAACTGTCAACGAACGACAACGAGCACGAAAAACTAAAGGAACCCCAGGCGGCCTCAGAGTCGAACAATGCTGCTTCAATCAACCTCCCTAATGGGAAATGCCTACTGACGATGCGCCAAAACGACATGAAAGATACACAGGAAAAGTCGACGGCTGATTCCTCGACCTACTCCACTTCCATCTCCCCCTGCTCGGACTCTACCGAAAAAACAATCCCTAATTCTCCCGAACCCTCCGGCGCTGACAAGCAAGCCGTTATCAGTGCTATAGGGACCGTTAATCTGTCTTCTGGGATCACGAAACCCCAACAGCAAACCAGAATGTTTGTACCAGAATCTAAACAACAGGCGTTTAAGTCCTCAACTCTGGTTTACCCTTCGGCCCCTCAGACATCCAATCAGAAGACGAGCCAACTCTCACCCGTCAACCATTTTCACACGGAATCAAACTATTCCAGGGAGGAGAGAGCGAAAGTGGCGAAAGAACGACGTCAACTTTCGAACCAGGATGAAGCTAATGCGTATCTTCAACAGGCGGGACTTTCACATTTAGCACCTGACCCCACTTTTAAGCCAAGTACACCCACACAGATGATGCTTCCGTTGAATGCACCATCAAACAGCTTCAGTAGTGGCATACCTGGGAACGGTAGCTATTTCTTTCCCGCTCATAGTCCTCCCTCGATGACCGTTTCGAATGGAAGCATTCAACCTGCCTCAGCAGATAGCTGCAGCATTAGTGGACAGAGTGGTGAGTCTGTCAATAAAACAAACCTCATAGTCAACTATTTGCCGCCCTACATGACTCAGGATGAAGTGAAAGCCTTGTTTTCAAGTATTGGCGAAGTGGAATCGTGTAAACTTGTGAGAGAAAAAGCTTCTGGAGAAAGTCTAGGGTATGCTTTCGTGAAGTTCGTGCGCGCAAATGACGCCGAAAAGGCAATCAGAACACTCAACGGGTTGAGATTACAAAATAAGACAATCAAGGTTTCTCTTGCCAGACCCAGCTCTGAGTCCATAAAAGGTGCCAACCTGTACATATGTGGTCTCCCGAGGAAGATGACCCAGGCTGAACTGGAAGAACTATTTTCCCAATGTGGCAAAATAATCACAGCTCGTATTCTCTATGACAACAAGACTGGACTTTCGCGTGGTGTGGCCTTTATTCGATTCGACCAAAGGCATGAAGCTGAACTGGCGATTCGCAGACTAAATGGATACCAACCGCCTTCTGATTACCCAGGTGCCTCTCCACTCGAGCCGATCACGGTTAAGTTTGCCAACTCGCCGAATTCTATTCGTCACGACAGTCTGAGCCTGGCTCTCTTGAAACAGGCGGCTCAACTACAGTCGGTCGCAGCCTCGGTTGTAACCCCTCCCACCAGATCTGCGGCAACGGCAGCTGCAACCGCAGTCGCCGCGGCGGGCCTCCTTAATCCCCTACAACAGATCGCCTCGATCTCAAATCGTCTTAAATATTCAACTGCCCTCGCCGGTGGTCCCCACAATCAGCCAGCCAACGCGAGTGACTTTCTGCCTGCTGTCGCCAGTGCCGCGGCCGTAGTTAATCCCCTACTCGCGCCAGCCATGGCTGCAAGCTCTGGCGCACTTACTGCCACTGGTTGGTGTATCTTCGTATATAACCTGGCCCCGGAGACGGAGGAATCAAATCTGTGGCAACTCTTTGGACCCTTCGGAGCCGTGCAGACAGTAAAGATAATCCGTGACCCGACAACAAACAAGTGTAAGGGATTCGGTTTTGTCACGATGAGCAACTACGAAGAGGCCTTGTTGGCGATCCATTCTTTGAACGGGTTTGCACTCGGAAACAGGGTACTTCAGGTTTCCTTCAAAACCACACCCAATCCGAGGATACGACCTCCAACGCAAGCTTCGCCGCCAAACATTCTGAGCCCAACCATGCAATTCAACCAGGGTAGCAAACTGAGTGAATCTGCCGCTTCACAAAACCAACCAGAAACAAGTTCTGCCAAGACCCCACAGACTCTGGGTGACGTGTCGCCAATTTCAGGCTCTCAGTCACAGCACACAAAAAACTTTACCAACAACCTCGCCACACGATCAAGTAGTAATGCCTCGGGCGTGGACTGCTCAAGTCCCGTGGCCAACCGTTCTCTCTTTTCGCAGATTTCGAATCTGAAAGTTCCAGTGAAACCAATTCGAGGTTCTTCAGGTTCATGCGAGTTCAGTGGCGTCAGCACTACAAATGCTACAAAGTCGACGCTTGAGCAAGAGCGAGGTCAGTCTTTTTGCAATTCATTTGCTGTTTCCGAAAACCAAGAATTCTGCACGACCGGTTCTCAACAGACCCGAGACAATCCTGCTCTGCGCTATCTAACTGACAAACAAGCCCAAGCCCACTCTCAGCCACCGAGCAGGCTTCGAATTGAGTCAGTCAGTAGCGTCAACGGAAGCAACCGACCTGGCTATCGAGCATAGTGTTGCTACAACCGGAGACAATTGAGTAGGCGTTGTCATATATTTTACACGTATTTTGCAACTGCCTTATTATCTACAGAATGAGTCTCTTTTCCGTAGCATCCAGTACGCACGGGCCTAAAAGTGCTATTTCATGCTGACTTCGTTTTAAGCCTCTCTTCTCTGTTTGTCGTCACTTCTCCCGCTGACAGCGAGTATTCAGCCGTTTTGTTTGCCTCACAAAGGGTTCATTTTACTTTGTGTATCGTTTTCGTCTTTCGTTGCTAGTTTTTTTCTGTCAAACTTATTTACCTCGGGTACAGTCTACTGTCAATTTCCTTTAGTGGTCTAACTTAAGTCACCCTTTCCCTCGTTTTCTCTTTCGACTGCACAACGCTGTCTAAGGCAATCGTTACGTGGAGTGTGTACGCTGATCACTTTCGAAGGTCACCCGCCAAAAATTTTGTGAAATCCACACTTCGCAGCTTGGTTATACCGGCTACACTATGGTAGCCCAGCAGCTTCAGTTTGTATCAGCTCTCCTTTCGTTTGCCTCACCGCATCGAAGTTTTACCTGACTCTCCTCTGGGAGTGACCTATTTTGGTTGTACTTTCAAGCTTCACTCACAACCTCCCTCCTTATGCTCTCTCCTCAAAACTCTCCTCCGCAAGCTTGGCGATAACGCAAGTTGAGACCTAGCAGACTCCCCAGACACACTGCTGCCAGTATCCAGTGCTTCCTTTCGGCTCATTTTATCACAGCTATATACGTTACTGTACGTTAGCTATGAGTTATTTTCGTCAGTTAACTGTGATTGTACATACTTTGGCAGCTTCTAATTGTACTTCTCGAATGAATTCACCGTTCATTTCTCAATATACGTTCCCGTAAAACGGTCGGCCTTCCACGGATCAAGTCTTTGCACACTGTCCTCACTTCTCGTACTCAATTTAACTAGCTGGGACAGGATAATAGCTCTAGTCTCGATTTTTTCGATTTGATGGCCGGACAATGAGAATGCCCCTAAGCA